CCTGAGGTACACCTCCAAGAGGCCGTTGATGCGCTCTGTCTGCCCATCTGTTTGCGGGTGCAAAGATGTAGACATCTTGAGCTCCGTCCCAAGCAAACGAAAGAGTTCTTGCCAAAAACGGCTGGTGAACCTCGAGTCCCTGTCGCTTATGATTGATGTAGGCAGCCCCCAATACTTCACCACATGCCTAAGAAAGAGTTTGGCCGTTATCTCCGCGGTGCACTCTTTTGGGGCAGGAATGAAGACCACATACTTAGACAAACGGTCTACCACAACAAGTATGTTGGTGCAACCCTCGGAAACGGGCAGGCTCACGATGAAATCCATTGAAACGCTGTCCCACGGGCGTTCCGGAATAGGCAAGGGTGATAACAAGCCATGCGGGTGGTCTTGCTCGGTCTTGTCTTGTTGGCAAACTGGACAAGTCCTTACATACGTCTCCACATCTTCCCGCATGCGAGGCCAATAGAACCGTTCATGGACTAAGGCAAGTGTGCGATGCGTACCTGGGTGACCCGCATAACGGCTATCATGGCAATCCCTTAGAATCTCCCTTCTAAGTCCATCCTATGCGGGCACGTACAAACGGTTCCCCTTGGCATAAAGTATCCCATCCTCAAGCCAGAACCGTGTTGTCTTGCCTTCCTTCACGAGCTCCATGAACCTTTGGGCTTGACGGTCGTGCTCAAGACCCTTCTTGATGCGATCAACCAGCGTCCCCTCGGGTATGCTAACGATTGGAGCAAGACACGCCTTTCGGCTTAGGGCGTCGGCCACGTGGTTAGTCTTCCCTGGGCTATACTCAAGCTCGTATTTAAACTCGGCCAAGAAGTCCAACCAACGTGCTTGCTTGCTTGAAAGCTTAGGTTGGCTTTGATGGTAGCTCACTGCCCGATTGTCCGTCTTGATCTTGAACGGTGTGGCGGCCTTCAAGTAATGTTCCCAAACTCTAAGGCAGTGAACTATAGCCAACATCTCCTTCTCGTGCGTCGGCCACCTTTTCTCGGTCTCGTTCAGCTTGCAACTTTCAAAGGCGATCGGGTGACCATCTTGCATGAGAACGCCCCCAATGGCGAAGTCCGAAGCGTCCGTGCTAACCTCGAACGGTTTCTCAAAATCAGGGAGAGCTAGGACTGGCTCTCGAGTAACGGTGTCCTTTAAAGCCTCGAACGCTGTTTGGTATTTTGGTGTCCAACACCAAACTTGCCCCTTCTTCAAGAGATCCGTTAATGGAGCGGCTATGGCGGAGTATCCTTCAATGAACCGCCGATAGTAACTAACAAGCCCCAAGAACGATCTCAGCTCCGTTGGCTTCGTGGGTGCCTCCCACTCCACGATAGCTTTGATTTTGGCCGGATCCATGCGGATTTTGCCCCCACCAATGATGTGTCCCAAGAACGACACCTCCTCAAGACCGAAGGAACACTTCTCCCTTTTAACATAGAGCTGGTTTTCCCTAAAGACTTGAAAAACGGCTCTAAGATGCTCCACATGCTCCTTCATTGTGTTACTATAGATAACGATGTCGTCCAAGTACACTACAACGAACTTATCAATGAAATCCGCTAGCACACGTTGCATCAGAGTGCAAAACGTGACTGGGGCGTTAGTTAAACCGAACGGCATAACAAGAAACTCATAAGAGCCATACCTCGTCACCATGGCCGTTTTCGGTTCATCACCGGGTACTAGGCGTACTTGGTAGTATCCCTTCCGCAAGTCTAGCTTGGAAAAGATCTGTGCCCATTGCAGCCGGTCGAACAAGTCTGCTATAAGTGGGATAGGGTACTTGTTCTTCACGGTTAGCTTGTTTAACGCCCGATAGTCGATGCACAAACGTAGCGTCCCATCTTTCTTGCGTTGGAACAAGGCCGGCGAACCCCACGGACTTTTAGACGGCCTTGTATGACCCGATTCAAGTAGCTGCTTGATTTGCACCTTGAGCTCCTCTAGCTCGCTAGGGGACATACGATAAGACACCTTGGCTATCGGTTTCGCCCCGTCCACCAACTCGATGGCATGATCAACCTCTCTCCTTGGTGGAAGACCTTTGGGCAAATCGTCGGGCATCACATCCTTGAACTCAACAAGGACTCGTTCTATGGGAGGCGGGATTCGTTCCTCCTTTGCCGGCTCCTCTGTGCATGGTTCCTCCTCAAACACCATGGCGGCAAAGGTGTGTTCACCCCGTTTTAGCCCCTTGTTCAGCTGGGAAGGGCTAATCTCATTTTCCCGTCTAAACTTTACCACACAAGGCTTCTCGCCTTGGAGGATCACCATCGTGTCATTGCTAGGCAAGATGATCGGCTTTACCTGGTCTAAAAACTCCATGCCAAACACAAGACCATAATCATCCATAGGTGCAATGGAGAAATTAGCGGTACCTGACCAGTTGCCTATTTTAAGAGGCACATCCCTGGCTTCGCCTACAAGACCCGTCCATTCGCCGTTCACGCCCTTAAAACGGCCTTTGCTAGGTGTCCATTTAACGCTAAGCGAACGGGCTACCTCTTCTGTGAGATAACTCGTGTCGGCCCCCGTGTCTAGCATGCCCCATCTAGACCCGTTTTCGAACGATGCCTCCATGCAAAGACGGCCTTGACGTGTCTCGGCCTTGGCATGCACGGCGTCTAGCCATTTCATGCAAGCGACCCGTTTCTCCTCTTCTTGGCACAAACCTTGTGCCAATGCTGCCAACTTCGAACGAGACGGGCAATCACGTGCCATGTGCGCTCCCCCACACAAGAAGCACCCTTGAAACTTCTTTGGCTTGTCCCCCTTTGTCTCCTTGCTCGAAGACGGCTTTGTAGAGTCGGCTGCCGGTTTCGCGGGTGTGGAAGACTTCCCTTTGTCTCCCCCACCTTTGCCTTGGAATGGCTTCTTGCCCTTGTCCTTGGAGCTATCCTTCTTTTGGAACTCAACAAGCGACTCGGCCACCTTTAACGCCCGATCGATGTCCTGGACTTCTCTCTGTTGTAGCTCAAGTTTGGCCCAACGGTTGAGACCATCCATGAAAGTAAAGAACGCCTCCTTGGGCGAGAGATCCGGAATTTCAAGCATCAAGTCCGAAAATTCCTTAACGTATTCCCGGATTTGTCCTTCTCTATGGTGCAGACGACGAAGCTTGGCCCGGGCTTCGTCTTCCGCATCCACGGGTAGGAAATACTTTCTAAACTCTTCCTTAAAACCATCCCACGTGGTGAAGACCGGGCCTCCATCCCCCACGGGTTTCATCATACGTTTCCACCATGATAAGGCACTATCTTTAAGATAAAGAGAGGCTTGGAAGAGTCTTATCGAGTCGTCCATGATATTCATAGCCCCAAAGTACCGTTCCATGCTGTAGAGAAAGTTCTCTACATCCCTCAAGCGACGGCTGCCCTTATATTCATCCGGCTTGGGCGCTTCAAGCCTTGGAACCGTCCCCACGGCTCCGGTTGTCCCTTGCACGGCCACGGCGTCAAGCCGTGCCTTAACACGCGCCGATTCTGCCCGAGAAGTCTCCAGCTCCCCCATAAGCCGGTTGACGTCGTCTTGGAGGGCGGCAACACGAGCAAGGCTTTCCTCCTTCGACTTGTTGCAACGTTCCACCATTTCGTTGAGCGTCCCTAGCATGTCGTCCTTCATTTGCTGCATGACCTCTTGCAATTCCCCTGCGAATCGCTCCATGCGAGCTTCGACGACCCCCGCTACCACCTCAGGGTGCTCGTCCCAACGGTCTTGGTGGTCGGCCACAGCAAGCTCTAGCTTGGCAAGCCGTTTCTCGAATTCCACCATCGGCTCTCTAACGACCGACTTCTCCTTGTGGCTTCCTTTGCGGGTGGTCCTCCCCACCTCGCGGGAAACGTGATCCCCCTCAAGCTCCGACCCTTGAACAACCTCCGAAGGATTGGACATAGCTTATGCACGAAAGAAAACTAACAAACGGAAGCGTAGACGATGTAGCACACCAAGTATCGAGCCGAGGCTCTGATACCAACTGTCACAGGCTTACTTTTTCAAAGTAACGGCCGTGCGGCACTAGCACAAAACAACTAACGATCAGTGCTAGCTCAGCCTTAAGACCCCCAAAGCGTGCAAAGCTAGGCAAGGCTTTAAAGAACGGAGGCAAAGAAAAACTTAAGAAAGGTTGAAAGTGAAAGAACGAGGAAGGCACAAGAGAGCTTAAGGAATGCTTGAGAACTCTATTCAAAGCTTGGATGGACTACAAACGAAGGGGGCATGGGGTATTTATAGGCAAACCCCAAGTCCTAAAGAATTCTAGAGAATTTTATGTACATAATAAAATAATGGAATTCTAGAGAATTCCTATAATAAAATATTCTAAGTTCAAAATATCTACAAGTCTCTAGAATCTTCCACACGGTTCTAGCAAACTCGGGTAGCTTCCACACGGTTCCACCCGTTTCTAGAGAGTTCTGGGCCTCTCTAGAAAATTCCAGAGTCTTCAAGATTTGACCGAAAAATTCCACAAGGCTCTAGACCGTTCCGTCCCATGTCCGTCTACGAAAATAGTCCGTTTCGCATCAAACCACCCGAATTCGTGGTGAAGAAAAACTGTCCGTGACACTTGGACAAGTACAACTTTGGGATCGTGATTGGCAGTCAAACCTGTAGAAGAGGAATTTGTGACTGAGAAAGGATGGTAAATTCTGGGGAATTGGGATTTAACTTTTGACTGAATTTGTTACTAGAGGTATTTGGGGAAGATATTCTTTCGTTATTAGCAGGATTTGAATTCAATTTTTTCATGTTTAAAAATTGATTATCCGGATCAGACTTTGACTCCGGATCAGACTTTGACCGTGAAGATGTAGCTGAAGTCACGGGAGTCAGTTGCTGCGGAATAGGCACTGCTGATTGCAACGGTTGAGAGGGTTTCTGCTGGCAAGGCACTGCGGTTGAAGGCTGTGAAACCGGCGACTCACATCGGACTTTTGACCGAGAATCTGCAACCGGTACCAGGGAGGAAGAGGATTGTCCTCCATCGCTTGCTGGTGTCACCGTGTCTGACGGAGTAGCAACGTTTGACGGCAATTGGACGGTGACGAAATGATGATCAGCGGCTTCCATTGAAGTCTCTGGTTCGGCGACTCCCTTGGGTTTGGTTTTGACCGTGACGCTGCAGCCGTTGATGAAGATTTCAACGGAGAAGCAGCGTTTGTCAGTAATTGGATGGGGATGAGATGATGATTCTCCGCGGCTGCCACTGGAGAAACAGCGTCATCACCGATGATGCGTAGATCAGTCAGCGCAGCTCCTTGATCGTTAGCAACAGAGTGGCGATCTTTTTCTGGCAGATCATCTTCAACAATCCGAGGCGAATCAACTTCAGTGGTGGTGAGCATCAGTGGCGGCGATTCCGTAGTAGCAGTGGGTTTCATCGGCGGCGCAACATCAGATGAGGCCGGATTTCCGTCCCCCATTGGCTTCGTTGATTTATCCAAATTCAGCCCGTTTGCAAGCTTGACTTGAGATTGGTTTTTTGATTGCTGTTTGGGTTGTAGCGATTCAAGCTTTTGCATTGACAAAGCCTTAATGTTGTGTCGACAGGAATGAAGATAATGGCCAATCTTTTTACGATCGACACAATATTGTGGCATATTCTCATAAAAAATCGATTGAAAATAAGTAGACCCTTCAACGCCCAGCCTGATTTGAATAGGATGATCCTTAAAAAGATCCATCTCTACACAAACTCTGGCTACTGATGGTCGCGACATGTTGAGAGTTGGGACTTCAATTTGAAGAGGAGTGACTATAATGCTTGCTAGTTTCCACAGGTAATCCTTGTTGAAACGATGGATTGGGAGACCTTCTAGAGAGATCCAAACGGAGACAATGGAGCTTTCGTGGGTTGGATTAAAATTTGTGGTCCACTTTAGAACACGCATTCGGTGGTTGTCAAAAGTCCCTAAACTTTTGAGCCAACAGCGATGAAAATCTTCCTCTAAATCAAAGCAGATGAGGATATGTCACTATAACTTGAGAATTCACGCCAACTATGTTATAATGATTTCTATTATAAATTATCATGTCTTTAGGTCGGCTCGTGTCAAGTGTTGTGCCATCAATTACTTTACTCATTTAGTCATCAGCACTTTTTACTTTTTTTAACAAAAATAATATTAGTTATAATGATGGAATAAAATAAAATAGGGCAACGAATATACTAAACCCTATGTCAAATACAATTTTAAGCTTATGCAAGATTTGTTCCCTTATTTAATCTAGAAGAACGGCGGATTCTAACATTAGACTTGTTCTTACTTTTCTTTTCACTATTGTGGTGAGGTAGAGTAGAAACTTCACTATAAAAATATCCCGTTCCATTGCTATTGCCGTGTCAGTTTCTTCATCTTCTGAGCCATTAGAGACTTGATTTTGTTGTCCTCCGGAATTGATGAGATCAATTAAGAAATTTGTATTAAAAGACTCAGTATTCTTCCCGACTTCCGTATCATCTTTGGATAGATATTGTTTGTGCGGTTTTTCCGTGGTTGGGGCTGGAATAGGAAGCAAAACTTGTAGAAGAGGGACTTGTGGCTGAGGGGAATAAGAGAATTCCGCATCTCAGGGATTTAGTTTTTTAATGGTGCTGTTGATATAGTTATTTTGCGAAGATACTTCCACAGAAGATGAGGAGAGAGATTGCAGGGTTGCAAGAGAATTAATTGCGAGATCCTTTCTTGCGAGATTTCTTGTATATCCATCCTTTGATTGCGACCATTTCGCGTTTGAATTTTGAAAATCCGGTTGACTCGGCGATAGTGATTGCGCATCTCAAATTATCGCAGGAAACTCGTGATCCGGTTGTGATTTGGAAGGAATTTGCGAGATCATAGGGATTTCCTGTTCGTCGGTGGTCACCGGAGATTCCATCCGGCCTTCTACCATTTTTGATCGATGAACTGCTTCCACTATTGAAGATTTTCCTCCATGGATAGTAATCGGGGGCTTTTGGTGATCAGTTTCTTCTTGAATTCTTTGAGAAAAACTAGTGATTGATGGAGAAGTTTGATCAGAATCTGGTTGTTGTTTTTCGCCATCATTCGTTGGAAGATTAACATCTAAGCTATGAGATTCTTCCACAGTATTGGTTCCCTGATCTAGCAATAGCAGTGGCGCAGGTGGTGGGTTTTCCTTATCCACAGGTTGATCCGCTGAGGCTTTTTCCACCGTTGTCTGTGCAGGGTATGGTTTATCCAAGGTCAACGCAATTACTGTAATTCCAGAAGATTGATTTTCTTGTTTAGGATGTTTTGATTGTTGTTTTTTGGGATGGTGCAAATCGAGCTTTTGCGATGCCGCTGCGGTTGTGTTATTCGACAGGAAAGAAGATCATGGCCAATCTTTTTGCAGTCCACATAATATTAGGGCATGTTTTCATAAAATATTGATTGAAAGTAAGACTTTCCTTCAACTCACAGTCTGATTAGAATAGGATGCTCCTTGAGGAGATCTATCTCTACACAAACGCGTGCCACCGAAGGTCGTGACATATTGAGAATTGGGACGTCAATTTGAAGAGGTGTCCCAATGATGCTAGCCAGTTTCCACAAGTATTCCTTATTGAAGCGATGAATGGGAGACCTTTGAAGGAAATCCAAACTGGAACACTGGAGCTTTTATGCGCTAGATTAAAGTCAATGGTCTATTTTAGGACTCACATCCCATGCGTGTCAGAGGTCCATAAACCTTTCAGCCAACAGCAATGAAAATCTTTTTCTATGTCGGTAATCAATTGATCCAATTGAAAACCTTCCTTTGAAAACAATAGTTTGGAATTCTCTCCGCAAATATTCTATTTTTGGCAGGCCTTTGGTGAATTTTCCTACTAGAGCAAGTCAGAATACGGTAGCCAATCGGTCATCTTCTTCTTTTGTAAGAAGAAAAGTTGGCTCTCCTTTAAAGAATGTTGGTCTGAGAGTATCACGAGTGGGTTTAGAGCTTGATTTTTTGTTGAGTGATTGTGCATTGTTTTTGGATTTGATTTAGATCCTAAGATCTGAGCAAAGGAAGGCCATTGAGGAGGTGTTGGGCCCAGCCACCGGCCATGGGAAGAAAAATAGAGAGATGTCAGAGAACTATTGAAAAAGATTTGCTTTGCAAGCATGTTTTTATCAGCACTATTTACTTAAAATGGTATGATAAGGTTGGGTTTGAAGTCAAATGCCAAAAGATCTATATAAGATCATTGTGCCTTTGAAAGCCATTACTGAATAATTTTGATTTATCTGATAATATTTTTTTTGTTCACTTTATTACGATTTCAAGGAAGTAAACCTTTTTTTTATCAGTGAAAACATTGCGAATAAATTTTTCTTTTTTGGTAAAAGGTACTGCCATTTCTTCATTCTCAAATCATGTACAATCTGTTAACTTTTTACAGATTAATCCTACATTTGAATGCCTAGATATGATAAGAATCTTATATCATCACCACTACCATTTTTATACATCATTTTGATCTTCCATATGCAACTCTTGGATAATCTTCTCAGCTTTGCATTATGCTATTTCATTTTTGTCTCCAAATCTTCTGTTGATCCTTTCTGTCCATACAGTATAAATCACCGCATTAATGCATGCATATAACACTTTTTCTTTATGATCTCCATTTCCAAATTCTGCAGAAGCTACTCAGCCTCAGTCTTTGTAACCTGTGTTTAACTCCTGTCTAGTTCATGATTTCCTGCCAGGTTGCTTCTATATATTCATATTGAAACAGTAAGTGTTCCAAGGTTTCATCTGCTTTCTTGCACAACACACAACTCTTATCTTCAATCTCCATTCTCATCTACATTAATCTGTCTACAGTGAGCTGTCTTCCTTGTCAAGCTAACTAGCTTATGAAGCTGTGTTTAGGGATGATGAATTTACTCCATATAACATCTGCTTGCTTCCACTTCTCCTTCGTCCCTCTAAGCTATTTATAACCATTCTTTGTGTTATATTCTTTTCCTCCTGATCATTTATCATCTTTCACACCATCTTTTAGTTAATCTCGGATCTTTAAGAGCTTCTTTCAATACCAGCTGCAATCATGTGGTGAGCTGTAATTCACATTGATTCTCCCTTAACATAGTAAATATGCATCCATTTTATCCATAAGCTATCTTTCTTCTTTTTCAAATCCCATAATTGCTTTCCAATCATTGCTTTATTCCATATACCAAGCTCTTTTATGTTTGATCCTCCTTTTTTTGTTCTTAAACAGCATCCCATGCAACTAGTGGTATACACCTTCCATTTTCTTTCTTTCCCCATAGGAAGTTCCCACAGCAAGTATTCATTTGTTGTATCACTGACTATGGGATCATGAATATACTATCTCAATAAGTATGTAGGGTCATAAGAACCGCATTGATCAGCATTATTCTACCAGCATAGGACAAATGCCTAGTTGGCCAGCAATTGATCCTTGTGGCTATTTTCTCCACTAGACTCTGACAGTCATTCTTTCACCATGCTATGGAGGAAATTGGCATTCCTAGATATCTCATTGGAAAGCTCCCAATTTCAAACTTCATTATTAGCCGCAATTGGTCTTGTAATTCATCAACTTTCCCTTCAAAATACATATTTGACTTCTGATAAATATTTTCAGCCATGTAGAATTTGCAAAGTGATCCAGTACCTCTCCAACTTTCCTGACAGTATAATCATCAGCTCCATATAATATAAGCAGATCATCAGAAAACATTAGAGATGTGATTCTCATTTTTTCACCAGTAGGGGTGCATTTTAAATTCCTTTTTCTCAGCTTTTCTTCTGAGTGATCTAGTTAGATACTCCATTACTAGCTCAAATAGTGTTGTTGATAGAGGATCTCCTTGTCTGATTCCTCTCTCTCTATTGAGAAAACCAGTACTAGTTCCATTTAGGTTCAATCAATATCTGCAGGTGGTAACACATTTCATCACCCACTACAGAAATCTACTTGGAAAGCCATATTCCTGCAACATCTCTTCAATGAACTTTAAATGTACTGAATCAAAGCTTTCCTAAAATCTACCTTCATCATATAGTTTGGCTTAGTACTCTATTTCTTATACATTCTAATTAGTTCTTGAGCCAGAAGTATATTATGCAAAATGAGCCTATTTTGCACAAAAGCTCCTTGGTTCAAGTCAACTAACTCAGGCAGCACCAAACTTAATTTCTTACATAGCATTTTAGAGATATACTTATAACATATATTACAGCAGGAAATTGGCATGTACGCAGTATCATCTTTAGGACATGCATTTTTTGGTATTAATGATATCAAAGTAGTATTCAGTTGCTTAAGCAACGTACCTATTTTAAAGAAGTCCAACACAGCTTCACATATTTCATCACCTATTATACTATATATGTGCTTGTAGAATTCACTCCCAAATTCATCAGGTCCAGGACTTTAATTTGTTTGAGTCAATTTGAA